CCAGGTACTTGCCTGCCTGCATCCTTTTATTTATGCAGATTGCCCTTCCTGGATTGTCCCTCCTAGTGACCCAGATGCTTTCAAAATGTCCCTTCCTTTCTGAAGTTATCAGCAGACCTGCCTGGATTCCCACCCCTGCCCCACGCTGGCACAATGCTCTCTCCTCTGTGCTCCCACAGCACTTTGTACCACCTCTGTTACTGCAGGGTTTCTTTTTATTTTAGTTCATTGTTTGTATGGCTTTTTCTCCTGCTAGATTTTTAGTTCATGGGAGCAGGAACAGTGTTTTGTTCATCTTTGTAACCTCAGCACCTAGCATACTGCTTGGCACATGAGAGATAATTAAATATTTGATGAATTCTTCTTTGAAACTTTGGAAGTAGATGAGAAAGGCGCTATGAATAATAATGACAATAACAGTAACTATATTATAGCACATATTTCTTACATGCCAAACTCTGAGGCAAGAGATATCTCTGATCTGTTTAGTTTTTTTTTTCTTTTTGGTATCATTAATCTACAATTACATGAAGGACATTATGTTTACTAGGCTCCACCCTTCACCAAGTCCCCCCCACATCCCTGTTCACAGTCACTGTCCATCAACATAGTAAGATGTTGTAAAATCACTACTTGTCACCAAATTCACAGTCACTGTCCTTCAACATAGTAAGATGCTGTAAAATCACTACTTGTCTTCTCTGTGTTGCACTGATCTGTTTAGTTTTAATCCCCACGATGCCCTGTGAAGCAGGGGTACAGAGGACTGGTGAGGGGCACCGTGTCTCTGGGGTCAGAGAGGCAGGGGTTTGAATTCTGGCTCCCTGCCTTGTATACTTCTGCACTTTGTGCTCTGCATGAGAGGGCTTGGCTCAGGGGGCAAGTGGGGCTAAATGCTCTTTCTGTTTGCCAGGCCAGGTTCTCTGGAATGGGGCCATAGCTGCTCAGAGGAATGGGCCTCCTTTTCCAAATGTGAGGAAAGGACACTCTATGGGCAAGCTGTGGCCTTGCACCGTTCCTTAGCTTGCTCTTTCCCTGATTTCCTCATCTGTAGAATGGGGTCAGAGCACTGCCAGCCTCAGAGGGTCCAGTCAGGGTGCAGTGGGATGATGTGTGGGATTTGCTGGCACTCCTCTGACATATGTATTCAGTAAATGTTAATTATTGTTACTGTCATTAACGGTAATAGCCCTATCTGCCAAACAAGAGAATTTCAAAAGAAAGGAGTTGGCAGAGAGCAGAGCATGGGGACATTCCTCCATATAAGGGCATTAGAAGGAACCAGGAAGAGAAGAGCTGTAAATGTTGAGCAACAGTGAGTTAGAATAGAGGCTGGTCAGATGTCAGGTGCTTCTGGAGAGTTCGCTGGAAGAAGCTGAGAAGAATTCCCTGGACTACACAGTTAGAGGTCATTAGTGACCTTTGAATGAAAGTCTCAGGATAGCAGTGGGAGAGGAAGCTAGATTGCTGTGGGTTAAGGAAACAATGAGTGATAAGGTAGAAATAGTAAGTCTGGCCCATTCTTTAGAAATTAAGTAATGAAAGGTCAGAGACAAATAGGCTGGTTGCTTTAGGGAGACAGAGGATGGATAACAGCCCTCTCCTACATACTTTATTTAAGGAGCTAGGCATCCCCTTCAAAGATCCCCTCCAGATCAATAGGGCTCTCAGAGAACATGGACACCCCTCCCTGCATCTGAACCCTAAACCTGTCCTGGAGAATCTGGCAATCTCTCCAGACTCCTGGGATGACAGGGAGGATGACTTGCCTCAAACATCCAGCTTCCAAATGGGACTCTCTTTTATTTAAGAAGAGAAGAAAGTTAAATGTACTATTTGAGGCAGAAGACAGTCATCGGAAGGCAGGGGCAGAACATATAGGGGTGGGGGATCCAGCCCAGCAGTGGCCTTGTGCTGGAGTGGTAGGGCTGGAGGAAGCAAGGGTGCAAACCCACAGGCAAGTCGAGGATATGGCAGAAGGTGGTTGAGGGACTCTCTGGATGGCCTGTCTTGGCATAGGAAGAGGCAAGGTCTGCCGAGAAGGTGATAAGTAAAGGTGAAGAGTGGCGCCTGTCTGTCAGGGAAGTTAAATGATGCAACAAACCATCTCTGAGTTTTAGTGGCTCCACACAATGAAAATCTATTTCTCCTCACAAGTGTGGTTAGCATGGAGCTCAGAGACGCCTCTGTTTTGTGCAGTGACCAGGGACCTAGGCTCTGTACACATTATGTCTCTTTCCTTTGATGGCTCCCGTGGGACCTCAGGCCCCTGCTCTGGCTCTTCTATGGCTCTTCTATGTCTGCTGGCAAACACAGGACAGGAGAAAGACTGCAGGATTGTGAAGGAGACTTTACGGGCCACTCTTTGAAGTGCTGCCCATCACTTCTGCTCATGGTCCATTGGCCAAACCAGTCACACGGCCACTCCTAACTGCAAGGGAGGATGGGAAATTTCATCAAATGGGGCAGACAGTACTGTCTGTCTGCATCTTCAGTGCCTAGCACAGGGTCTGTAAGCTTCACTGAATAAACGTAGAGAAGGACATTTCCTCATTTGCTCCTTGTCACTATTCTCTCTATTGTGCCTGGCTTGAGGGACACAGATAAACAGACCTAATGTCCCAAATAGGAACTAAAGGTCGGGCTGTGCGAAGAGCTGCTCTTCCTTGATTCTGTTGTACTGCAGAGATCCACTCAGACTCTCAGCACCTGAATGTGTGCTCCCTGTAGTGAGGCCCGAAGTGTGGGGCCAGGGAACCTGGTGGAGTGAGGCTCACGTGCTCTCAGGGAGATAAAGATCAGGGTCTTTCTTCCAAAGTAGTGCTTTAACGAGTTGAGCTAATCAGCCAGAAAAATACGTCAACCAACCCCTGAGCTACAATTCCCAATCCAAATACCAGTTAACCACATCCCACCTGAACTGTCTAGCTCGCTGTTAAACTAGCCAGTCCCAAGGTGAACAGGCAGCTCACTGAGATAACTACTCTCCAGTTAAGTTAACTAGGTCCAAATCAAACTAATCAGTCCAAGTTACCACTGATTCAACTCTATCCTACAGAGAATGTTTAAAACCCAGGACTGGGATTAATCTTCTCCATGACCTTTCCAGTGGCCCTTTTTATAGATAACATGAGCTCTAGAAAGGGGAGGAAAGCTGGTGATGTGAGTCATAACTTCCCTAAAGGGCAAATAAAGGGCTCCTTATCAGGCTGGCAAAGCTCGCCTGCAAGTGGAGCATGACGTGGAAACATGCCGGGCAGGGAACGCCAGCGATATTTTTATAAACGACTCCAGAAGATATCAGCAATGTAGGGCTGGGGCCAAGATTCCCATGTTTGCAGATGAAGCCCATTAACAAGGGTGCTGGCGAAGGAGAGTGAATACCAGCAAGGCCGGAAGGAAGGAGAAAGCAGCGGTGGGTGACCAGAAAACAAGCCAGTGTTTCAGACCTGGGAAGCACAGGGGTTAGGGCCAACCGCCATCTGACTATGCCAGCCTGGCGCAGGGCCACAGAGGCTGGTCTGGGTAGCTGGGTGCTCAATGTGAAGGGGGACAAGGTACCCAGGGCCAGAAGCTCTGCCCACAGCACCTGGGCCACAAGGAGAAGGGCTCTGACGGTGAGGAGATGGGCATCCCCTTCAAAGGGCCAGCTCAGTGGAGTCCTCGATGAATATGGACCCCTCTGCCCATAGCTGCACCCAAATCTGTTTGGAGACTTCTGGCCATCTCTTCAGACTCTGGAGATGACCAGGAGAATGACTTGCCTCACATACCCAACTGCAGACAGGACTGCATTGAGATGCACATGATAAAGTAACTCACTTCAAAGCAATAGTTGTATGTCCTGGAAAGAGGCCAGGCTATGGAATCAGTGGATTCTAAATCCCCTGATTACCTCTAAATAATCATGTGGCCTTCGGCAACTCATTCAGACTCTCTGGGTCTCAGTTCCCTCTTCTATAAAACAGTAATTCCAGTTTACATGTTTGTGAGGATTTAATGAGATTGTACATAAAAAGAGCCTAACCCACTGCTTAACATAAACTTTCCTTTCTCTTCCCTCCAAGCCCTACTGAGTGGTCTCTGGGCCAGGCTTAATCCGTCCTTTGTCACTGTGGAGCCCTGGACTGGCCTGTTGCAACCCAGGCTGGCCTGCCCTTGCCCGTGTCTGTCTGCTGATAGGTCTAGTCTCCCTGCCTGGGGTTCCCACTGCTCCCAGTCTGTGATCAAGGCTCAGGCCCAACGTACTTAACACTTCTCTGGTTTTGGAAAGTATAGGCAGACAAGATATTGGCAGGCCAGGGATCAAGGCTGGGCATCTCTGCTGACTTCATACCAGGACCTGGAACCTGCCTCATGAGTGAAGGCAGAAGTGGCTGGGCTGCCCAGTCCCTCATGTCTACATCTAACAATGTCCAAATTAATGTCCATTTCTGCAGATGAAATATTCTAAATCACAGTGGCTTGAGCTAAAGAAGGGCTAAAAGTCAGACACATTTATACAGCGTGATTTCCATGAGCTGAGCTGGTGTGAATGGGAATGTTCCTGGCAACCAGGGAGTGTTCCACTTTATTGAGTCGGGTTGGGCGATGTTAAATGTGGTCCCGGGAACCCTTTACCTGTGCAAGATTCCAGTTTATTTAACGCAGGTATTGTTTATTACATGGGGGAATCACTGGATAACTTTCCTAGCACCTCTAGAGATGCTATGTATGTGAAATTTGGGGAACCCCATCCTTCCTTCCTGACCCCATCTCCTTTCTCTCTGCTCCAGCCAGCCTGGCCTGCCTGCATGAACACTCCAAGCTTTACAGCAGAAGCCTTGTCCTCATTCTTCCTCCCGCCTGGGATCCTCTTCCTGCTCCACCCTCAGACCCACCTTATCAGAGAGCCTCTTACTGACCACCCTTTGTAAAATGGCAGTCCACCCCCATCATCTTCTAGTTCCTTATCATGATGATTTTTCTTGTAGAATTTTAACATCAGACCTAATACTCACACTTTGTTTCTCATTTGTCTGCTCCCCACTGGAACATAATCTCCATGAAGACGGGATTTCATTTTGTTCACTGCTATCTTCTTGCTCCTGAATAGCGAGGCCCCTGGTAGGCCTTTAAAAAATACTTGCTGGATAGATATTGGACTTCACCTTTGATGTGGTCTGTGGTCAATACAGTGAATTAGGTAGAACGTCATTAGTGACATTATACAGATGAGGAAACCAAAGTGCAGAGAGGTTAAATGACTTGTTCAGGGTCACTAACTAGTTAGAGACAAGGTTAGAACCAGAACCCAGATATCCCAAGTCTCAATATGATGCATGTGCTGAGAGCCACATGTGTCTCCTTGATTCCTCAGCCGATTTCCCAGAGGAGAGTATGTTGATTGCCTTAAAGACCACCCTTAAGTGGAGCACTGAATGCACTTAAACTTGATTGATTTTGCTCACAGACTTGTCAGATACTGGAATCCAGAGGTAATAGGCAGGGACTAGGTTTTTCTAGTGAAAACTACTTTTCATTTCACCCAGCCTCTACTCTGAAGTCTGTTTATTTCAGGTCTAATGCAGAAAATATACACACTAAAAAACAAATTAAAAATAAACAATAAGTGAGTTAGAAACTGCCCATGGCTGTCAGGACTTATGCACCATGCTATGTGGGTTTTGAGTAAATATTTGCTTTGCAAGCCAAGAAGCAATATGTATTTACTGAGGCAGTCTCTGGCTGAAAGGCACATATGCTACTTCTGGGAGCTGGCATAATTTCCCCAGGGAAGTATGTGCACAGGCCTAAGCACCCTGGCTTCCTGCAAAGAGACAACTTGGTATTGGGAGGCCTGGGTTCTCATTTGAACCCTGCCCCTCTCTTGCTGGGTAAATTGGGGTCACGTATTGCCCTCTCTGGACCTTTTTGACTTTAGCAGCATCCTATGACTTCAAGAGAGAATATGACTAGTTTTCTGATCAGCAAATGACTTAGGTGAGAGAGAATGAGGAGAGAGAAAGAGAGAGAGAGAGATGTGGGTACTTAAACTGTCCCTTTCTTCTTCTATCTTTTCCACTGAGTCAACTCTTTTCTTTCTTGACTTTTTTTTTACCCAACACAAGTGTCTCTTTTTCCAAGAACTTGTAACAAATGCCAAAGCCTTCTGAGGGCTTTTGCTGTGTTCTTCAATAAGAGCTAGTACCTGTGCCCAGGACCATCTGGGCTTGGAGAGTAAGGTTGGCTGTGTGGGGCAATGTGACCAGGGCTGAGTGGCACCTCTGTCTAAAAACATCAATCATCAAATCCCACAGTGGGATTGAACACACTATTTAGCCACTACCAGAGCTTCTGCCACAGAGACCCACTAGGGAACAAAGCTCAATCACCACCCTCATGGAGCTTAAGGTCTGGTGATGGAGCGATGGTTCAGGAATCAGGCATGTTTCATTCTCCCGTGACACAGCTTCAGGGAGGTAAAGCTATAGGCCAGCTAACTACCTCGGACCAGTGTTGAGGAGGAAGAATCTGGCAAACCTTCCCAATGTAAATGACATTCTAAACCAAGATGTGAAATTGGGAGAGAAGAAATTATTCAGGCAAAGGCGAGGAGGGAGAAAATGTTCCAGGCTGAGGGTGTAAATGTGTGTGATTGCAAAGGCTGGGTGGGTGGGTGGGGTGTTGTGTGTGTGTGTTGGGGGGCGTTGCTGAGCAGCTGGAGTGTAGAGTGTGAGGGGGAGGGGCAAGAAATGAGGCCTGAGAGGAAGGGAGATATGGTAGGTCCCCCCTAGAGCCTTGTGAGCCACTCGAGAGTGGAAAGATTTTGGAGCTGGGAAATGGCCATTTTGGAAAGACCACTCTCAGTGCAGTGTGGAGCCCCCCTCTGGAGAAAAGCAAGGCTGGAGGACCAGAGGCTGGGTGCTGGGTGAGAGGCATAGCAGTGCAGAAGAATATTTTGACTCTAAGAGCAGGTCCAGACTTTGGAACTCCTAGAATAAGTTTTGGCTCTTGTCCTTCTCAGCCCCCTGTTGTTCCTTTTCTCCATGAGCCATAGCACTCTCAAATTTGATTTATCTTGGGGCACATTGGAAGAACAGGATCCAACCCTTTTGAGCAAGAGAATCATTTATTAGTGTGAAAGACTTCGCTCCCATGTCACAGTCTTGTGCTTTTAGTATCTATTAATTGAGAAAACACCTAAAGAACAAAGCCTCCAGTAGATGCGTGCACCCATGAACGTTATGCCTACGTATATGTGGGAGCCAGTATTTAGCCAGCCTATTGACATGGCTATTGTAACATATGAATCCCCAGAGCCATCTGAAAGGCGTCTGCATCCCCCCAAGGGGATGGGAACCACTGCCTGGAACATGTGTGTTAAAAAGCCACACAGTCATACGTCCCCAGAGTGCAGTGCATGGCTGCCTTCTCTGTAAACCAAGGGGTGCATAAACTCAGCTGGTTCTAATTGCACAGGGCATGCCATATTGTTGCCCGATGTAATGTCAATTTTTATTTATTTGTGTTTGTGAAAAGCAGGACTGATTAGACCACTTAAAACTACACAGGCTGGTTAGAGCCAGGCTGGCGTTGGTGATTCAGCCGCCCCCTCTAAAGTCATCATTGCTCCTCGCTCTCGGCCTCCCTCTGAGAATGTAAACTCCGGGCCCTTGTGCTATCACGATTTCTATTTCATCCTGACTCTTATAAACTACCATATAAAAAGCAGCCACTGAAGGTTTTTTTGTTGTTTTTTTTTTCAATTTCATTTTGAGGCTTGGAAAATCACAAAATAAAAATAGCCCTGAGAGTGGAAACTTTGGGGGAGTTTGTTTAGCTTTCTTTGAAATGTACTTTATGAAGGAATAAGTAAGTCATAAGATCCCTGTTTGTGGAGTGCTTTACAGGTTACGTAATTTTTTCACATCCCTTCTCTCCTGTTTGACCCTCCTGGAGCCCCTGGGAGGTGTGGGTTATTATTACCCTCATATTGCCAGCAAGGCAGAAGCTCCAGGAGATGAAAGCCTGGCCTGGGCTGAGATTACACAGCCAGGTGATGGCAGTGTAATCTGGCAGTCACCAGTGTAATCTGGCAGATGGCAGTGTAATCGGTCCAGGTAGACAGTGCCCCGCATCCTGGCCTCTGCCTTCGCTCCCTTCTCCCCTAGGTTCCGCGCACCCAGGCCCAGCTCCTGCCTTACTCCTTCCTCAGGGCCATTCCTGATGGGGAGGCGTTCCGGCCATGGCACAGCAAGGCTCTAGGCTGGTCACCCAGGGCCTCTCTTCCTATCAAGGGACCCACTCCTCAGGATGTTTCCTTACAGACGACCCACCCACGTCCTCTCAAAGGCTAACGACTCCTTTTGGCCACTGTCATCTCTCTGTCCTTAGGGCCCAGCATGGGGTCTAGTACATAGTAGATGCTCTGTGAGTGTTTCCCAAATGGAAACATTTTGAATATGAAAGTTTTTTTTTAAATACCCTTCTCTTTACTTCATTTTCTGTCCTGATTTATGAATTGGCCACTGGAAGTCTGATGGAAGTCTTGAAGTTATTACTTGGCTCATCATTTCCCAAACTATTTTGAGGAGTGTTCTGAGATACATCAATAGATATTCCAGAAAAACTAAAAGTCCCATGGTCATATAAACTTCGGAAATGTCGACACAATAAAGTCAACAGACTTTTTTAATTGAAAAATTTCTCAAAGCATAGATTCTCTTCCAAGTCTGCATCCCTTCAAGATCGCCCCATCTGTGTGAGTTTTGGGCATACCTCTCCGTCCTCACAATTGCTTAATGAGTAACTTTTAAATACACACATCTGTAGTCATGCACAGAACTGTTTTCCTGAATGGCTCAGAGTTCAGGGCTGCTTCCATGGCGCCATTAGTTCTCAGCAAAGGGCGAGCAGTTCATATTCCTCTCCTTTATGATCTTCCATGCCTCCCACCCAATGCCAGGCCATAGCCCTCCTGATGACTGAAAAGCCCCTTTCCTTTAGTTCCTTCCCATTAGCTTAAAAAAGTGCTAGGGTCTCTGAGTTAAAGAAATCTTCCTTTGACCACACCAGTCCCTCAAGCTGTGGCTCCCTTTCGCTCCTTCTCTTTGACTTGAAACTTTGTGAACAGTTGCTCTCATCCAAGGTCACTCTCCCTTCCTGAGGGAGGGTGCATCCCATGAGTACTGAATGCAGAGGAATCTACTCAGCCACCTTGCCTTGATTAAGGATTACTCTGCAGGTCCATCCAAGCTCCAGAGCTCCACCTGCAATTAGCTGAGAGCTTTGCTTAAGTACTTCAACACCCTAACTTCTCCTGTGGTTCAATTCTGTTCCTTTATATCCTTCAAGATACTTATTTTGAGAGTATTTTCCAATGTTGTCTTTCTGCTAATGTCCATTTGAGTCTGCTTTCCAGGAAATCTGGCTTGCAGCAGTTGGTTCCTGCAGTATCTGAGAATACAGGTATTAATGTGAAGTTTTTGAGCTGGTGGCTGGCAATGAGAATACTATCACCGGTGACAGATGCCACACAGAAGGCTCCTGGCACAGTGCAATTATTAAAATTTTCACCCAGGGGAACTAGGAAGCTATATAAATGTATTTCCATATGGTCATGGGTCAGGTGTTTGGGTCACTTGGAGGAAATAAGCTGTAAAGAGAATGGAGTTAGATAAAGAGAATTCCATACTTAGGAAAACCATCAGTCAAGAGTAAGAGTGAAATACAGAAATTTTCTGAAAACTTAGAGCAGAGAAAATTTACTAGTGGCAGACACTTATTAAAGAGAATTGTAAAGAATGTACTTAAGACAGAATGGCTGGAACATGCAAAGAAATGGGGTGAGTTAAGATTTTGGTAAATGTTTAGATAAAACTAAGAAAACATTTAATTTCTGAAATAATGATAATGACTAATGTCTGTTTGGATTAAAAAAACTAGAACTAAAATCTGGACAAAAATAGTGTGTACATTTGAAGAAGTGGGTAATCAGAGTTAAAGCATTTTAAATTCATGGTATTTTGGGAGACAAAGATAAAAATACTATTTAGACTTTGTTAAAAAGAATAGACATGGAGAAAGAATAGACAAAGTCTAAATAGAATTTTTACCTTTGTCAAAAAGAATAGACATGGAGCATTTAATTTCCCAGCATGAGTAAGAGAAAAAATGGAGTCAGTCCAAGGTAAGACTGATGAGTGTGAAAGGGTAAAGGCAGGATGAATAGAAAAGACAAATAGATGTAAGAGTAGAAATAAATCCAAATCAATCAGTAATCCAAATAAATGTAAATGGATTAAACTTTCCTGTTAAAAGACAAAGACTCTCAGGCCATATGAAAACAAAATTTAGCTATGTGCTTTCTTGAAGAGACTCAGCTACAACGTATGAACATAGAAAGTTCTAAAGTCAGACTTAAAAATATATATATATATATCAGGAAAGTAGTAACCAGAAGAAAGCAGGCATAGTCAAATCAGTACAAACCAAAATAGACATTGAGGAAAAAGCTTTAAGAAAACATAAGGAGAATCATTCAGCATCATGCTAAGAGGTTCACTATCAGGAAGACAACAATTGAAAACTTATATTCACCTAATAGTGATATAGCTTCAAAATGGATAAACTCTTCATTAGATCTACAAATAATTATTAACAAATCATTCACTATTTTAATATAGCTTTTTGGATTATTGATAGATCAAGTAGGAAACATTGGCAAGGATATTTGAGATTTGAACAGCACAATTAAAGAGCATTTAGGAAATTGCCTTGGTTTACAGTTATCCACCACTCCTGCCCCGAAACCCCAAACACAGATCTCTCCTTTACTTCATGTGTACTCCTGTCGCTCTTTGTACTGACTCTTTTTTGTTCATCTGAGAAAAGTTCTTGATTCATGTTCTCTCAGTTTTATTATTTGCCTCAGATTTGAGTCTCTACTGATATCCTCAGTTTGACTTTCCCAGCTTCTTAAGCAAGATGTCTCTCTTCCAGTGTGTTAGTTGAGAGGAGCCCCTTGTAGGAGGGCCAGAGCTCACCTTCCTCATGTTACAAAGTGAGTGGGGGGACATATTTAGACACCACATAAATGTTAGCGGTGACATATGTTAGGTAAGTGCTCATAAATGCATGTAGTATAAAATGATAAGCATTAGCTTATTGGAAGAGTTGTCTCCCAGCATCCTTTACCTTTAGACCAAAGTACTTAGTCATATCATATCCTAATCCCTAAATGCATAGCATTATCAATCTTTACTCTCCCAGCCCTGCATCCCTACACATTCCAGGTCTTTATCTTTCTTTCTTCTCTGTTTAGTCCCTATTTCCAACCACTTAGTGCCAATTACTGGATGAGAGTCTGGGAATGGTTTCTCCAGGAGGGCTTGTGACAGGAACAGCAGTGGCAGATGGAAACCGCCATATCTGCCACATAAGCTGGGCCCTTCCAGCTGACAGCCTTCTTAGAAAACAAGAATTCATCTGGCAGTAAATAACAAGGACGACAAAGCTATTCCTACTCTCCAACCCAGTAATTCTACTTCTGGGAATTTACTCCAAGGCTATAACTTAAGGGGGAAAATGTCATCTGTCTAAAGATGTCCATAACAGTCCAAGTCATAAGAAAGGAAAACGGGAAACAATCCAAATTTCTACCAGTGGGGAAATAGAAGAGCAAGTTATGATAGTATTGAAATGGAATACTCTATAGCTATTACAAATCACAAGTACACACACTAGGTTAAATCTTGGAAATGTGCTTGTGAACATTCAGTGAGAGGCAGCAGACCAGAAAACATTTACTGAGTGTCTACTGCATGTAAGATGCTCCAGATCCTGAAAGTTATTAGGATCATCTGGTTCTATGGGTAAGAAACTGAGGCTCAAAGGGTTTGGTGCCCTGTCGTGAGCGGACCTGGAATTCAAGCCTGGATCACTCTGATCTCAAGTCCATGTTCTCCTGTAAATGCAGCTCCCAGTTCTGTCTAATTTTCCAGCAAAAATGTAAAGGAAACATAGAGTGATCCAAGGAGATTAGAGTTTGTTTTTAATTATCTTATTAATGAAAAATTATTTAAATGTAAGTTAGAAAAAAGGGAAATAAAATGAGATCTTTCCCAGGAAGAACAAGCTTGACTGTAACTTGACTAGGCAGTCCCCAATGGGGACCTGTGTTGTGTAGAAACCCGCACTAACAATTACCCCGACTGGGAGGCCAAATTCCCTGAGGGCTTGTTGAGTCCCTAGTGCCCTCTGCCCTCTTCCCACTGCCCTCTCCTGAAACTCATGTTTATGCCACAGTGAGTTATTGCTCCTGGGGGAAGCATGAATATTTATTTTTGATTTGTTTGGAGTTAATACATAGACTTCAAATCACTTGCTAATGTATTTTCCTGAAAAGGTCCCTGTGAAATCTGAGGAGCTTGTATCTCCCATGGGAGGAAGCAGCATTTTCTTCTTCTAAGCATATCACCCTTGCAGGTGACATTGGAACTTGTATCTCCCATGGGAGGAAGCAGCATTTTCTGCTTCTAAACATATCACCCTTGCAGGTGACATTGGATAAAATGGAGGATGTGTAGTGTTTGCATGGATTTTGGATTTTGGAGTAAGGTGACTTGGGTTCAAGTCCTGGTTGAACTATAATTGTAGGTAGGAACTATTTTAAACACACACACATACACACACACACACACACACACACACACACACACACACACACACACTAGCACACACATACCGTAGCTTATCCTTAGAAACTCTTAGAATGGCATGTTTGTTTTGCCTCTTACTCTAATGAAGTTGAATTTTGTAACCAAGGACATGTCCTGCTTCATGGGCTAAAGGTGTCGCAGGAAAAGGTAAAGATTAGGAACACTTTGTTCCTAAAGATCTTCTGTTCCTTGGATGCTATAGACTGAATGATTGTGTGCCCTCAATACTGGTATGTTGAAAATTAATTTCCACTGTAGTGGTGTTTGGAAGCGGGTCCTTTGGGAAGTGGGGCCTCAGGCAGAGCCTTCAGAGAGCTCCCTCCTCCCCTCAGCCATGTCAGATTTTAGCAAGAACACAGCAGTCTTTGAACCAGGAAGTGAGCCCACCAGACACTGAATCTGCCAGCACCTGGATCCATAACTCTGGGAAATAAACCTATGTTGTTTATAAGCTGCTCAGTCTATGGTATTCGTTCAGCAGCCCAAATGGACTGACACTGGCTGATGCTGGTGTTTCTTCTCTTTGTCCTCCCCTAGTGCTCCCAGAGCTGCAATGGCAGCAGCCATTCTGACTTTCCCAAGGCCGCCTGTACCTGTGGTTCAGCTGGCTCACTTGACCACCTCCTCCTGGATTGCAGCTGACTGGAGAAGCCACTGGATCACTGGCTTGAGCTGACCCATGAATCAAGGGTAAGACGCCCTTTGAAAGTAGTAGTCTCCTGGTCCTAAAGAAACTGTAAAACTCACCCAGGCAGAGAAGTGGTAGAGGTCTCCAGGTATAAGGGCGACAGATCCAAAAGGCACCTTGCCATCAGAGCACCAATTTCTGAATTGTCTTTCTTGCATGCCCCTCAGAGCTGGAGGCTGTTCCCTTAATGACTTGGTGGAAATAAGATGAAGTTGGTGGGAGAAGACACAGGACATGGGTTTGTGAAATGATTACAATCAGCAGATCTGCTTGCTCTGCTTGCTTTCTGTTGCCACAACCACATCCTTTCAGTTTAAAGCAATACTTTTCTTCTTAGTAAATGGTAGTTGGGTTTACTTTGCTATTACAAACACATAGGGAGTCAACTATATCCGTAGCAGTCAGGAGCAGGCAGAATAGCTGATACCAAAGTCAGGAACTTGGTCAGAGGGCAGGAATTAGAAGAGGAGGCCTGTGTTATACAGACCTTTAAGAACCACTAGCAGATACAGTGACTTACTGGTAGTGTGACTTTGGGCCAGGTACTCTCCCTCTCTGATCTTGAAGTTCCTTATCTGTAGAATGAGGCTAATTCTTCCCATGTTGGAGAGTTGTTATAAAAATTAAAGAGAATGTGTCTAACATGCCTGACTGTCAGTGGCCACTAAATGAATGAGATTTGCCTTCATTGCGCTGTGTATTTATCCCCCCTTCTTTTTTGCTTCCAAAGATGAACTAGCTGTGAACCAATGGGAAAACAGGCTGGGTCAGTGTCACCAGCTGTGATGGTTAATTTTATGGGTCTGTTTCACTGGACATAGGGTGCCCAGACATGTGGTGAAACATTATTCTGGATTTATCTATAAAGCTGTTTCTAGATGAGATTAGCATTCAGCAGACTCAGTGAAACAGATTGCTCTCTTCAAAGTGGGTAGACCTCATCCAATCAAATGAAGCCTGCTTTGAGCAGGGACACTGGTCTCTTGCTCTTAGACTTGGACTGAAACACTGGCTCCTCTTGGGTCTCCAGCCTGCTGGCTTCCAGAGTGGCACTTACACCCCTGTCTGTCCTGATTCTCAGGACTTTGGACTCAGACTAGAACTGTGCCACTGACAATCCTGGGTCTTCAACTTCTTGACTGCAGATCTTGGGACTTCTTAGCTCCCATAATTTCATGACCGATTCCTTATAATGAATGAATAATAAATAATAAATATCTGGTTCTGCTTTTCTGGGAGATTCTGACTAATAACCAGGTTAGAGCTCTGATTTTAGAGGGCAGGCGTAGGGGAGGGGCTCCAGAGCCAGGGGAGGCCTTCCACCTTGGGAAAGCAGAGCCAGCAGCAAGTGTGATAGGGAAGGAGGGAAAACTTTGCCCCCTTTCCGTGTTTGCCTGCTTTAACTGCCAGAGACAGTCTGACCTGCTCGGGCTCCTGTGAGTATTCTCAGAGTGGCGCCTGTTTGGCTGAGCCCAGAGTCATCTTAATATGGAAACAGGCAGAATGAAGTGTCCTACCCTCTGTGTGTGCTGAGCACTTTGTATGTAACAGAACTGTAACCATGCAATATCCCAGTGTATTTTAATAACATGCCTGTCTCGCTGGTTGTGAACTCTGTGAGGAGAGGGGCTAGGTCAGATTCATCTCTATTCCCCCAGGACCTTGCTCAGGACTTGGCACCTTGCCTGGCTTAAAGTGGACACTTTTGTAGTTTGAAATGGTATATTAGTATTTGGGTGATGGAAACACCTCATTTTTTCCCTCCTTCCCACACATTTGCCTCATTTATTTCTCAGATGTAAAGGAATTTGAACCAAATGGGCTTTTTTTGATCAGGTTGGGCCAGACTGTATTGCAGCCTACTCTAAAATCTCAGTGACTTAACTTAATGCAAGTTTATTTCTACCTCATGCAAAGTCCCCTGTGGTTACGGGCGACTCTCCAGAGCAGCTGCTCTCCATACAGTGTCTCAGCAATTCTGTATTTCTCTGATTTGATGTCTCCATCATCTTAACACAAGGCAGGGCAACAGCTCATGGAGAAAATACACTCTCCCAGATGTGCTTTAGCCCAGAACTGCTAGCCATCACTTCCCTTCAGAGCCCCTTGGCCATATCCACTCATATGCCCACACCTAGCTGTGAAATTATCGGGGTAAGTAGTTTTTTGTGTGCCCAGGAAGGGCAGGAGAACTGACATTGGTGTGTACTAATCATGCCTATCCTAAAGGCTCAAGCTAAAATGCAGGACAGCTCAAATTAAAAGTGGGAAAACTATACCAAAATTTGCTGTTCTTGTTATGAAACATGCATCCATTTATTTATTCATGCAACAAATGTTTATTGAGCACCTGTTAGGTGTCAAGCATTGCTTTTGATATTGGAGCACAAAAGTAAATAGAACAGTCTCTTATACCATAAACTTACATTCTAATGGGGAGAGATATATAATACATAGTATATAACTCTCAGAGGGTTACCCATGCTATGAAGGAAAATAAAAGCATGAAAGAGGCTAGAGAGAAATGGAAGAAGTTGCTGTTTGGGACCTGGTGGTAGAGGAAATCCTTGCTGACAAGAGATTTGGCGAAGTGAGGGAGACATGACAGTGTATACGGGTGAAGGGGTAGCAGTATGGCAAGCAGAGGGAACATGCAGTGCAATGGTTGATTCATTAATTTAGTTCGTTCATTCATCAAACATTTATTGAGCTCTCACCACCATGCCAGGCCCTCTCTTATAGAGCTGGTTATATGAACATGAGTGAAACCCAGACAGTGACTTCTAGCAATTCCCAGTCCAGTAGGGAAGACAGTAGCAGACAAATATGTACAGTGAGAAAAAAGGAGTCAGAGGGGTCAGACACAAAAGAAAGAATTGCTGTTTCCATTTGGGTGGAGAAGGGCCAAGGAAGCTGTCATATAAGAGGTGACTGGATGGTCTAAAGTGGAAATTAGAAAAACCAGCTGTTAAAATAAAAATGTCGATGTATTATCTACTGCTGTGTAACAAAATAGCCCTGAATTGTGGCTTAAAACCACAGCATTTTATTATTTTTCATGATTCTGTGGCTTGGGATCTGCTGGACGGCTCTTCACATGCATGTGACACTGACAGGTCACTCCTGTGGATGCATTCAACTGGGGGCCTGGCTAGGGCTCTGCATCCAAGATGGCTTCATTCCCATATCTGGAGCCTCACTGGTATGGCTGGGACATTTGGGGCCAGCTTGCCTCTCTCTCCATAATATCTCTCATCCAATCTAAACTAAATTTCTTTACATGGTAGCTGGATCCTAAAAAGGTAAACAGAGACGGAAAGTCACAGTATCCTTTCCACTGGTTAAAATCAACAAGGAGCCAGCCCAGAGTCAAATGAAGGGGACACAGGCTTGACCTGCGTGCCTGTCCAGGGGTGGGAGGAACTGGTAGACGCCATGCTATCAGATGATCTATCACACGCATTAACAATACAGTGAAGCAGACATGTCTGTGTGCACCCATGCTGCTCTGTCTCCCCAACACGCGTCGGTGGTAGAAATCACTAGTCATTCCCAGCACACTTACCTGCTGAGCCTAGGATCTCCTCAGATCAGCCCTCCAGGCAGACTGATCTGCGTCGGGGAAGGAGATGAGACCAGTCTGCCATCCTAGCCATAGAGGAATATAGCAACCGCCAAAACTGTCTCTCTGATATGATAATTCTAACTCTATAGCTATTGTGTTTGCAAATAAATGAAGGATGGGGGTGAGTGGTAGGATTGTGGATCATGCTTTTTGTCATGTCTTTCCGATAAATAGGTAGTTTTAAATGCCCAAAGGATATACAAATTAAAAAATAATTATAATACAGGACAAAGGTAGAAAAAAGAAAAAAACTCTTGATAGGGGTTTTAGGTGAAGAGCAATGGGGCTGGCCTAGAGAGAGGGGAGTTCGGAGGAGCTCAGGAAAGGAGGCAGGTGATACAGGCATGTCAAGGAATTTCTGAAAAGAACAATTTTGGTCAAAACTCGAGAGACTGTACTTGGTTTCCAGCCAGAAGGAGCTTGACACTCCCAGCATTGGGGCTTGGGGAGATTGTCCATCTGGGCTTAGAGGAATGCAAAGGCAGCTTTATGTGTGCAAGTCAGCTCGCTGAATTCCACAGCAAAACTGAGTGTCTCCATTGACCCACTGCCATACGGTTTGAATTCCCAAATGTATCATCATGTGTTCAGGTCAGTTTTGTGTTCTACACTGCTAAGAGTGTTATATTTCAGGAACCTTGTTGTAAAAGGTTACAGAACAACAATTAGGACTCATAAGAATAGAGATGAAAGTGGAGAAATCTATGTCACTGCCTTTGGTGATGATAGCAGCTGCATTAACTGGGCACCAAAGCAAGGGGCCAAGGGGCTTCCTGAGGGATCACTTACTTATGGTGTCTCCTGACCCTTTAAATTATAGATATTTTAGCCCTATCCCTTCAGCAAAGTCAGATTCTGATGTGGAGGCCCTCTGTGCAACTTAAGGCAAGAGTGTCTTTCCCTTTCCCCAGGCAGCAGTGATGTGTGGGAAGCATTTTGGATATGGAGTCACGAGGGGTACCACCTAAAGGCATCTGTACTGGACAGTGGGGTTTGGCATCATCTGGGCTTGGACTTGAAGCCAGACCCTGCCATTTCCTGCTGGATGCTGGCATGCCTCAGCTGACAAGTTTGTATGGCAGTTACTAAAAGGAGCTGCTTTTCAGAGTTGCAAACATAAGTATTCTCAAGGTACCCGTGGTAAAGAAGTATCTGCAGGGTGATTGTCATCTAGCATGGGTTCTCATCATTTTATTCATGTTTATCAGTCAGGGCCCTTCAAATGAATATATTTCTTTCTTAGCTAAAAGTTTGAATTCTGCTGCAACTTAGAGGGAGGTAGTCCAGTTGCTGAGTGGTCCCAGATGTAGTGCTCCAGGACCCCCTCCCTAACAAGTATAAAGAGATCCTATTGTGTTGAGGCTTCAAATCACCTATGTATGAGGCCAGATTGTAATAGTTTCTGAATTCAGGGAAAAATTTTTCCCCAGATAAAATAGAAAATTGCATTTCCTGACATCTCAGCCACCATCTGGGTTTCCTTCCATATGAAGTATCGTAGTTTGGCTACTGTACCCTGTTAAAACATTTACCATAATCTCTCCCTCAGGGTATTTCAAGGCCTTACCATAAAACTTACTAAGCAGAAAAATCCTTTGGGAATACAAGGAATGGTCATGGATTAGGAGAAGGATTGAAACACTTCAATTCATGACATAGGAAACCTTCCCTGGGGTGGCCTCTACACGAATATTTTATTGAGGGATTTCTTCTTTTGTTTTACTGTAAGTGTAATGTCATTTAAGTCCAAAATATTCTCATATTGCCATCTGCTGTAGTGTTCGTCAGGTCTGTATGGCCAAAAGAGGCTCAAGGCTTAATTCAGATTCTCCCCTAGACATTTTGGAAATACTCCCTTTGTTTTGATTTCAAGATGCTTACCACTAAGTTTCAGTCTTGCATCCATTCACTGTGGTCTGGTGGAAAGGAGGACCTGGGAATTTATCTGCTCCTCAAGCACATATTGAATGTGTACTGTAAGCAGGTACTGTGCCAGACATGGGATGCAGAGAGCAGT